CCCCCCCTGTGATAACAGCGCCCCCTTGTGTGCTTCCCCCAGGTGGATATCCTGCACCCTGCTATACACCTGACGGGCGGCTATGAGAAGCTGTTGGGGAGCGTCCTCCACCCCACACTCCGCCTGGACGTGAGTGTATGCACGCGCGCGTTCACGGTGTCTTGCCACAGTGTGGCGCTGTGTGGCACGTCTGAGTCGCTCTTTCTCTCTCCAGGCCAACAGCAGCTGGCAGGACAGTAACGACCCCCTACTCAGTCTCACATCTTCACCTGCGGCTCCGAGCAGCAACCACTCCAGTACCTCCACCCCCCCCAAGCCCCGCCCCTCCCTCCCCATTCGTCGTTAACTTTAACCACTCCCACTGATGCTGTAGTTCCCCCCCCTCCCCATTCCCTCTATCCTTGGACTGCATGCTATGATTTTTTATTTTTTTCCCCCTCCGCCTCTTGTGCACGCAGGCACGCATACACAACATGCACATTTCAGCAGCGCGCATGCAGGTCGATGCCCATGGACATGCTTATGGACACATGCGTGCAGGACTACTGCCAGGAGGATGGGAGGCTTTGCCCAAATGAGGAGGAGCTTCCTGGTTATTGGCCACAGTGTCAGGAGGCTCCGCCCACATAGGGGAGGAGCTCCCTGAGACCAGGAGAGGTGGCATCTGAATGGAAGGACTCGACACACAAATGGACCTGGCCTGGACACCTGTTTGGTGCTTGTAAATACGTATCGTAATCTTACGCTGTGTTAACATTCACGTTGACCTTCTGCCCTCGTAGTTTTCTGGCGGAGCTGAGCTGGTTGGGGGTTTTTTTTTTCCCTTTGTTTTTTGTTTTTTTTTTTTTGATTTTGCAAATATCCGTGTGCGTGCGCGTGTGTTGTCGTGATTCAAAGTTGTGCCGGTGCGTATTCAGAAAAAAGAAAAAAAGAAAATTTCCCTGTCCTGTCACCAGCGCTCACTGGTAACCACGGTAACACAATCCAGATCTCGCTGGGAGCTGTGCTCCGCCTGTACATACCAAAGTCCTGTCCCCGGTACTGTCCGTCCACCCGTACGGGTCCGTGCCGGGAAGTTTCCGGCTTTGGATTTTAGACCCGGGACGTGGGCTCATCCGTCCTGCGGCCCCCTCGCGTCCCATTGGCAGGTCTGTCTGTGCAGCTTAGTGGACGAAGTGCTGTAATCACAGGCGAGACGCACCGTAGACAGACTGCAAAGATGAGGCTGTGCACCAGGCTCCTTCGCTCGGAGAGACCGGGAGGTTTGTGACCTCACAGGAAGTCGCAGGCGGTTTTAGGTGATTGGTAGCAATTGGGCAGAGGCCAGATGGAGGCTGCCAATCACGTCGTTATTTAAAGGTCAGGTGGGGGTGTCTTGGAGGGACGAATTGGCTGTGCTGCGTGACAGCGGCGGTCATTTGGCATACAGAGGAGGGTGGAGGCGTCGATGACCTGTAGGATGCAAATGTACATTGGCTTTCTGCTCATAATTTTCAGAGACTTCTAGTTTTGTTTTAAAAGTGTTTTATTCATATTTTTCACCCATCATTTCCTTGGGGGAAAAAATTAGTGAAATTATAGCCTTTTTTTTTTTTTTCCTCCTAACGCTGTTTCACAAAGAAAGCACCAGCCACCAAATATAGAAAATGTACTTGTTGCTACAGAACAGGAATTAACGTACGTTTTGGGGGTGAAGTTATTAAAATAAAAAAAAAAAACAAAAAAACAAAAAAAATAAAAATGTGACTGTCTTCCATGCATGTAGGGCTTTTAAGAAGTTTTAGTGATTTTTATTCTAATTTCTAATTTTTAATTTTACGAAGAGGGGGAAAAAAATACAAAAATGTAGTAACTGAATACAATGACCAAAAATGAGTGTGTTCACGCTGTTGAGGACATGCACACGTGTTGTTCTTGGGGCCCAGTTGGCTCCTGAACCATTTCCATTCATTATTCAACAGTTCTGTCTTCCAACCTCAAGGGGGCAGCATCTAGACTCAGAAACCATTCGTGGGCTCCAGGTACCATTACTCAATCCCTGTACTCGGAGGCTGTAGGAATAGGAGGAACAAGGAACCATTAAGACTAGTACTCTGTCATTTTAAACCAAAAATAGTATTATAATGAAATGACTATGGCAGTTGGCTGAGAGAGGGTGTGCTGTGTCTGATGTATACTTTGTGTCTTCGTTTGCATCCTTTTCAAATATTTTTTTTTTTTCCTGCCTGTGAGTATTTTGTATCACTTGGGGGAGGGATGTGCGCGTTTGTGTGACAGGAAGCGGTGGCACGCTGCCCCTGCCGGTGAGCCACACCACTCGATACAGGAGCCCCCGGGGCTCAGAATTAACCAAAAACCGTTTGGGTCAACTGCAGCTGGGGAACAGTTAACAGAGAGCGGAAAGGAGCAGAGACGCTTTGTGTTCTCGTCTGTCCACGTAACTCTTCGAATAAAGGTGAAAACGTCGGATTATACCATCTTTATGAAAAGTTATATGGAACATGCAAGACATGGAACGCAATCTCATTGATGTTGAGTTAGAGTTTATCTAATGTATGTTAAAAAAAAACAAAATGTCAGAACATGGTAGTTACCCTCCTTATGATTAATGTAATGAGCAATGTTATTACTGCAAGTTACTTCTTGTATTTCTTACTACTTGTTTATGGTGTCATTTTATTTTTAATAATTGTTTGGTCGCTTTTTCTGTCTGGCTGTTGGTTTGACATGATCAAATGTCTCTTTTTCTGAGTTTGTTTAAAAAATTAACTTTGAGTTCCCCCATCCCCCCCCCTTTTTTTTTTGTCTAACAGTGTTTTTCAACCCATTCTTCAGGGCCCCCTGAAAGTCATTTTTGCTCCATCTAGATAGCTGAGGGGGAGCGAAAACATGGAGTCTCTGGATCCCCAAGGACCAGTTTCAGAAAGACTCTAACACACCCCCATGTGACTTATCCCATGTCCCCCATTTAAACATCCCGTATCAGTGTGGTTCCGGGCCGCGTTCCCCCCCCCTCCCCCACCTTGAGCTACACCCATGGCTCTTGTAGCTCTAGTTGACGTAAGTGCCCTCAAAGGCACGTCGTTTACCCCACCACCAGCACCACCTTCCAAAATGTTCTCCAGATACTTTATTCCCCCCCCCCTGTCCCATACCTGTATGCATACTTCCAGCACACAAGTCCTGGAAGATGTTTTTTTTTTTTATGATGATGATGATGAGGGCTAAATTTGCCCCACCCCCATACTGTGGAAGTTTGGTGTATTCCTGTGGGTTGCTGCTTGCTACTCATTTTTAAAGGAACAGCTGAGAAAAGGGCCCACCCCCCTCTGTGTATAACTGCACATTTAAGTTCCCTCACTATCCACAATCATGGGCCGTACCAAAGTCAAAAGGAAAAAAGGAAGAAAAAAAAAATCCACTGCACCAGTTTACATCAGGCAGATCCCTAGCCACCCCCACCCTGTATTTCCCTGCCCCCACGCCTGTGTGAAGCCCTTTTCTTGTGTATATAGACTTGTGACTCAGCCCCTTTTATACCTCAACTTTAGACCTGTTCTAGAAAGATCGTAAAAGAAAAAACACAATGAAAAAAGTAGTGTTCCTTATTAGAAAAATGAAAACTACATATTCTAGCGTGCTTTTATTTCATATTTTTTTTAAGGGTGTTTTTTTTTGGGGGGGGTGTGTCTTTGCTTGTTTTAATGGGAACAATGATCTTTAGTCACTACATCTAAAACATTGTGACGTTTTGAAAAAAAAATTAAAACATTTTAAAAGAAATGGTATTCTGTGGTGGACTTCATTCCCCCCCCATATTTTTCTTTATAGTTGTAAATTACTGGTATCTAGTCTAGCTTCAAACCAGTGAGTTCTGGCCTGCATCAATGTGGAAAAGTCTCCTATAAAGTGCTTTGATTGTCTTGAAAAGTGCCACATAAAAGCAACATTCATTCATTTAGACATGACCACGAAACCACCTGTAAGCATTTGTCTGGTTCCATACCCGATCACTCAGACGGCAGTGACTAATAGATTACATCATTTGTGCCCGACTGATTACTCATTAGGACATAAATGCTTTGCAAACCAAAGGACTGATGACAATAAAATAGAATCTGCTCTCTGCTACACTAACCCCTAGCTGATGACGTCTTTCACTGAGTCATCCATGACATCGCCACCTCACCGCTACACACGATGTGTGAACATAACATTTACGGTTATTGAGATTAACATTTCAATTAATGCTGGATAAGTGTTATTCATTTAAAAAGCTGAAGTAAATCAGGCATTAGGTGGACAACGACAGTCACCTAATATTTAAAGTTTATATTCATATTTGATTTGAAATATAATGCTGTTTATTAAAAAAAGATATTAGCAAAAATAGCAAAGGTTGAGAGGTTCACAGGCAAAAAGAAAAGAAGTGTTGCTTTGTCACATCGGAATTTAGAAGGGTTATCCAGGAATAATCCCGTTTTCCTCTCTGTGTGTTGTCACCTCGTCAATACTAACCAAAAGAACTCCATCCTGGCTATATGTCCCGCCCAGTAGGTGGCAGCAAATAACCTTAACGGCTCAAAAAGCAGCGCTGTTTTTCCAATAATGTTCTACCTTGCAATGTCTTGTACTGGCCTCTACGTGGCACCACCCAGACGACCTTTTATACGTAACGACTCACGAAAAAGTGCAGTTGTATTTCCATAACGCTCTAGCGCTACGATATCCAGTATTGGCCACTAGGGGGAACTCGGCACCATAATCACGAAAGTCACAAATCTCGGCGTTTGCGCTGTCTCAATAAAAAATGTTCTGGCATTTAATACCAGCCAGTGGATGGCAGATAATATTCAACAGACCAGAGATGATCATCATGGAATTTTTAGTACCACAACTGTGGTCAAATGTGCAGCTTCGTTGCATAGTGAAGGACAACAAACAAAGAAAAATAAATTACAATTCTTTTTTTGATCAGTTAGCCACAGAGTAACAGCAAGTTATTTTGGAGGAAAAAAAAAATTCTTAACATGACGAAATCTCACCAAATAGTAACATTGTGTACCTCAAACCTAAAAACACAAATCAACGATAACACACGTAACTTTGTAGCTGTCATGCATTTCAGATGCAGAATATCAGCATTACAATTCTCTGAATTTCAGAAGCACTGTATACCTCTTTAAAGCAAATTTTCACGTTGTTAAAAGGGGGGGGGGAGGGTATTAAACAGGTATGTAACTAAGCAGAAACTCTGCATAGCAGGGGCAGTATATCACCAAAGACAAAATCTACATAAATCGACGTGAAAACATGAGAGGTAGTTTGGAAGTTTGATTAAACTATATTTTGAATATTACAGGCAATCAAAGGTGGAAATATAAATCTTACGTCTTTAAAAGATAATTAAGGAGCCACACACCATACAAGGAACAAAAATTCAAGCTCAATATCTGAAACCCATCCAGTCATCTACCACTATGAACTCTTTTCTGAAGATTGTCATTTAACCACAATCTTATTAAACCCTGCATACAAAAATGAAAGTGTCTTGATCACCTCTCTGTATGTCTGCTTTTCTAAAACTTCTTTTAAAATGGTGTGTGGCCAGAGGTACAGAACTGAAAATCCATGTGCAGTATCTTCCTCATTAGTTCTGAGTTTCAGTTTCGCCAGTGAGCCACGTTCACCAGAACTACAGCCGAGATCATCCTGAGACTTACAAATCCTCTCCTTAACCAGACAGAACTTGAGGTCTACGCATCCTGTTAAGCAGTAGACAAGTACACATGGGTTCCAATCGATTCAGGTGAACGAATGTTGGAGAAGACTGAAGCTTGCAGGTGGACTCCCTCCAAACCACACATGGATCACGTAAACCAAGGAACAGGACAATGTTTCAAATCCCGCAGCAGGAAAGATTACAGCATGCGGCCTTTTGCTGACCATTCAACTTAACCAGAAGTATGCGAAACTGGTTAGTAAATAACATGGCCCGTCCACAGAAGGTTAATGGGCCTCTTTCCTCTCATTACTACCTAAACCACACCGCTGAACCAATTTGCATTTTAAAACAATCACATTCAGCAAATGGCACTGATGATCCTGTTATGTAAAACCTGAAGTCAACTCACGTGAACGAAACCACTTTTAAAGTTGGTCTTCCTCCTAGAACAAGCAGAAGGACAGACACTAGTGTTTGGTCGGTCTGTGGGAAAGCCATGGTGTAGATGTGAGCTGTAAAAACCCTAACTGCAGGCTGCACCATTGGCTGGAGACTGTTACGCAGAGGTGCACCTCCCACCTCTGCACTCGTGGCAGTTCGACAAAAAAAAAGCACGATATTGAGGCCTGCCGGGCCGTCCATCTGCATTAATGGCGCCTAAAAGCAAACCCAAGTTCAGATGAACTGGAAGCCAAGGAGAAAACAGGATCACACATTTTTATCTACATCAATACCTGCTACAAGTCAAGTTCTCTTCGTAGGCTAGCGGGCAGAACGGTGGTCAAGGAAACAGCCTTGGGAAGTCACCGATACTGGTCCGTCAGTTCCAGTAATGTAACAAGTGCAAAATATCTGTCTGTGGTTTTGTTACAGTCTGCTGACTTGGCTCAGGCACTTTTAGCTTGGTATGTAGAGGTCAAGATCAAGGTGAAGATCCCTAAAGATCCTTCTTGCCCAGGGTGAGAGGCACTGGTATTGTGACTCCAAGACTCACGCTTCAAAGATGCCGGTTCTATCTCAAGCACTGATCTCTTCCGAGAGGACAAGCAGAATACAGCTAATGCATCTAAGCGGAAAATGACAGCTTACAAGAAATGGCACTGAAAGGGCGTGTCGGCCGGAGTGACGTGAAATCTCTATGAAGCGGAAAGGAATGTCAACATAGCCTTTCAGGGAATCGGCCACTCGCGAAACAGGACGGGTGTCACACCTGACCGTGGTTTCGTCCATCATAAAAAGGGGCGAAAGCACGAGTCGTATTAAACAGTATTTTCATTTGCAAAAGCAAGTTTTCGTTTCAGTCACTGGGAGGCTAAACAAACACTAGTGACTGACCTTTATAATCAGCATTAAGTACAAGTAAAGTTTACATGTCAATAACACACAGGACTTGCCGGTCTGCCTCAGCCACCAGCGGGGTGTTCCACAAAGCAGGGTCCCTCAGTTAGCTGGGTTAATTTACGCTAGAAATCGTGGATGTCCAACAGGAATGCTCCTTATCTAAACTCTTATTGGATGATCATGACTTCTAGCTTAGTTAACCCAGGTAACTGAGAGATCCTGCTTTTTTTTGAGCTCACTGTAGGTAAATCTGTAAGTCATCAGGTAAACTGAGGCCCTGCGGAGAGCTTCACCCCAGAATGCGACGTGACTTCCCAACCGAGTGCGTCAGCCTGTCTAACAGTTAGTACTCCTCCTTTGAAGCGGTCAGACTGCATGATCATTTTGCAGTCTGGCCATCGTTCGACGTTGCAGGGATGTTGTTAGGGCACTGGGCGGTCTTCCCCATAGTCTTCTTCATTTTGATGGTGTTGCTCTTTAATGTCTGGAGAAAGACAACCCCCGTACACAGAGAGGGTTAGCGAGACTCTCGGCATGCACAAGTTTAGTACAAAACATATTTAAAAAAAAAGACAGTGGAACACCTTGCATTTTAAGCGGTGGTTTAAATGGCAAAGAATGTATCGCGATGAGGGGATACTGGTTGCCATGACGTCCGTATCTGTCCCACCTGTCCCAACAGCACGGGTGGCAGAAACTGCGTTTCCAAAGCAACGGCAGCATTTTCACAAACCAAATAGACGGGGTGGGGGGGTGCATGGGAAAGGCCGATGGCACAGCGCACAGCGCACGGTGCGTTCCCCAGGCACTGAGCTCTGCACAGGCCCGATACGCTAACGTGCGACGAGCTTGTAGAAGCATGAGGGCAGGGTGGGGCATTTTCAGTGGGTGGGGACACTGGATCCACAGCAGTTGTGGGAAGTTAAAGTCCTCATGGGGCTGGGGGGGGGGAAGGGCTGCGTATGACTGGTCTGTCACTATCCAGGTCACAACTGGAATAGGTGAATCGACTTCATGGCCTGCTGAATAGCCAAATCAAATATTAGATATATTATTTAAATATTAATTAAGCCCCAACTTACCTCCCCGCCCCTGAGGACCAGGCAATGCCCGCCACAACGTGGACGGAAGCCAAACCACACATATCTGTGGCTGCTCTAATTGCACACGGCAAGAAGCACTCGTGCAGACAAGAGTAATCAAGCACAGATCTCAACAAGCAGCTTTTCCATCGTATTTATTAATATGAAAATGTGACAAAAAATATAAATCTCAAAAAAAAAAAATTATAGTTCTTATACATGACAGCATAATTAATTAGTAGAATAAGTGGTAAGAGATGAACGATAGTGAGGAGCTTTCCTAGGAAGTTAAACACACTTTGACACGATAGTCGTTACGAGTCACCAGGGCTAAACACAGGAAACGATTGTCCATTTGAGGGTTGTTCCTGTTCCGCTACTGTGTGGTCGGTGTCCTTTTTATCCACTCAAATAAGAATAAATCCAAGGATGCAGGAGGTGTTCAGTTACATTTGATTACGTTTAATTAAAATAGCTGGTTGAAATAAAACACAATTTAACGAAATAATAAATATGCACAGGAACCAGATGCAGGTGTTTAACAGTACAGAGTTAACTTGCATGCCACATATCTCACACAAAGATGTGATTTTTTAACAAAAACTGACACTGCGTACACACATGACAACGCCAGCCAGCCTAGCTAATCACAACAGATGCATAGCTGAGCTGAGGCCTTCAGGTTCCGCTGGGGCACACGCTTGGGGATGTGGCATGCAAGCCAAGCCAGTTCTCCGTGGAAGACTCGCAAAAGACAGGCAAACAAGCAAGTATAACAAAGGGAACCCAAATCCTCGTCCTTCAGTTTGGGACAGATTTGACGAAATTCTCGCCCAAGTCATTCGCTGTCTGTTAATATCTAAGTCTAACTGCTAATGCAGATTTTTATTTTTTTTAATACACAAACTGAAGGATCAGGATTAAACACCCCAGGAAAATAAGGAAAGCAGGGGATGTGTGAGCTGTTATGGATCTGTCTGGGTAATGCAGTTATGGTGCCAGGAGGGGGGAATGGTCACAACGAATTAACAAAGACTAGAAACATACAAAATCTAAATATCAAAATTCCCCCGTTCAACTCCACGCTAGAAGATGTTTAGCTATTATTTATTGCCTCTCACAGACAGACACATACAGGAAGCCACACGGGAAGTCTCCTCCTGCTTAGATACACGACTGCTAAATAAGCAATGACAGAAAGTCCTGTGAAATAGGGCCTGACAAAGCCCGACCCAAATCAGGTCTCACAATACTGCGCACGTACTCCCTTCCTCGAAAGCCCTCACGTCGATCTTGTCACAAAACTTCTCTCTAGAAAGCAGTGGGTGGGGCTGCTTGTTGTTTTAGCTTCACATTCAGTGAAGCATTAAATTTGTTATGAATCTCTATCAGACTTATCATTCTCAAGTACATCAGCTATAAGAAAATAACTATTCTGACGTTCTCCAGTGACAGAGGGAAAGTGCCCTCTGACGTTTTTAGTGTGATTGCGTCCGACCGTCTCATTGCGTTACTGTTGAGTCGGAATAAACGGCTCATTTGCCACCAACAGTCTCTCTTTCCTGTGACTTTTCCTTTCTATTATTAAATGCTTGCAGGATGAGCGAACTTATGGCGTCCGTCTGCATGCGATCAAACAGCCAGTGAGACTGAACTGCAGATCCACAGACTGGATAACACAAGATTTTTCCATAGGAAGGGATCACTTAAGTGAGGTAAATCAAACATTGGTGTGTTTTTTTTTCGTTTTTTTTTTTTTATGAAACCACGGACAGTACATGACACCACATGTTTGGGGCACTGAAGCGGGCAAGAGCCCCACGTTGGCACGGTGTGCAACTAAACACGGGACGGACACGCATGAACGGACACAAACATGCACGTGCAACCGAGGCGGAACCTAAAATGCCCGTCACTTGCGCGTGGCCGGGAAGGAGTTATACTGATCGTTACTGGAACTTTCCGAGAGTACCTCTTGCCGCAGGGTGTCAAAGCGCACGCTGGAAGCGCTGCCCTGCACCCCACCCCTCCTGCAGAGGCAGCACAGGATGCGTTTAAACGTCGACAGCATCTCCTTGTCCCGCAGAGAGTAGATGATGGGGTTGATCAGAGAGTTACACTCGGCGAGGACCAGGAAGTACTTCTCCACTATCAGGACACTTTTCCCCGCCTCGAGGCCGTCCACCAGAAGGATTACCAGACCGGGGGTCCAGCAGATCACAAAAGCACCTGAGGGACGCATAGGGTTTAGTCAGTGATCTTCTCAATCTTTACAGAGTGGGATGGGCGGGGGGGGGCAGGAACTGGTGTCCGTTTCTGACTTTGTTACAGTGACCAGTGACCCTTGGTCAGTGTTGAGTAAGTCACCCATTACAGACAGAGGTGGTAAGTTCAGGTCCAGAAAGTACAAATCCAGGCCAAAGTTATGTCCTGAAACTGGAACTCTCTATACTTAACTGGTGGGGGGGGGGGGGGCATTCCCTAAAAATCACCGTAAACAAGCACTGAATAAAATGATCCCCTATGGCTTATGAAAAGGCTGCAGAGCCCATGTTCCTGTGTGTGTGCACGTGTGAGAGACCACGGCACAAAACCGACGGCAAGACACAGAAATCTTGACTCGGGGAAATGCTCACAAAGTTTAATCTGTTCTGCTTGTTTGTTTCAGGGTTTGAAGCTGCCAAGCTTGGCTTTAAGTTCTGTAGGGGTGCGGTTAGACTCAGTAATCACATTTAAGAGAGTCATCAGTAGGACCCCTACAGTGATATAAACACAAGTGTGTGTGTGTGTGTGTGTGTGTGTGCGTGTGCGTGCGATGCCTCACCCAGGATCATGGTCACGGTCTTCATGAGACTCACGACGGTTTCCTTGTGCTTAGTCTGTGTGGTGTGCTGCGACATCCTCTGGCTCTTCCTGCGCACGTACAGGAAGATGCGCAAGTACACAACCACCATGATGGTAAAGGTGACCAGGTTGAGCACGGCCCAGAAGACCAGGTAGCTTCTGCTGTACAAAGGCGCCATAATGGAACAGTTCTCCACGTCACATAGGCAGTGCCAGCCCATGCTGGGGATGAGGCCCATCAGTAGGGCCACTAGCCAGATGCCCAGGATGAGCAGCGTCACCCGCCGGTTGGACATCTTGCTGTGGAGCTGCATGGTGAAGATGGTCTGGTGTCTTTCCACTGCCACGGCCAGCAGGTTCACCACAGAGGCCGTAAGGCTTGTGTCGATCAGACCCTGCCGAAGAAACCACTGGGGCTTAGACAGCTTTTTGGTCCAGGGGCCCGTATGGAACATCAGGTAGAGGTAAGAGGCACCGGCGAACAGATCGGCCGCAGCCAGGTTGCCCAGTAGGTAGTAGATGGGGTAGTGGAAGCCACGGTTGATGATGATGGCCACCATGACCAAGCTGTTGGCAAAGAGGATGAAGGCACAAACTATGATGCCCAGGATCACCACCAGCAGGCTTTGCGAGGTCCATGAATCGTTGATGTACTTCCCACTGTGGTTGTAGAAGAACTCCAGCGTCCGGTTGCAGTAGCACCCGGGTGCGTCGTCGCCTACAATCTCTATGCACATTGCGGCCGAGGTGGAGGAGGAGAGCGCAAGAGACGTGTGTGAAGGACAGACGGGCAGCTACTGGGTGCGAGAGTGCCAGCAGAGCGCGGGACAGACTAGATGCTGGCCATCCGGATAGCACACATGGACTGCTCAGCTTAGCAACGTGGCTTCCCAGTCTGAGATCGGGTTGCACTGTCCCTCAAGTCCTCGTCTTTACCTGTCATCCCCAAGCAGAAAAAGAGACAGACTTCAGGTTTCAATGAAACAGGCAGACATTAAGAGAGGACTGCCCATTATCCACTCATCCATCAATCTCCCATAAATCCTAAATTTAACTCCTGTAGCTCAACAAGAACACAAAAAAAAAACAATAAAACAACCCTTCTCTCTTTGGATAAAAGCATCATATGAATAAATGTTAATTTCACCAGCTAGCTACCTTAAGAGATTATCTATCACTGCAGGGTAAACCCACTGACTTACAGCACTAATATTCAGTGACCAGGGATGTGCATATAGACCGTTTTAGATATTCAAACAATTGACAGTATTATCTGAAAGTTATTCGCATGACAACGTAGGGGTGATGACACACACGGCAACTTTTTGAGTAATGTTGCCGGGCAATTTTGCTGACCATTGTAGCTCAGGCACTATCCTGCTGATTAGGCACAAAATTTCTATTTGGGAAAAAAATTATCGCCAGTGGGCAACTTTTCATGATCATATAGATCCAGAAGAGTTATCCTTGTCTTACCTGGTCGGCAGTTGCTTGGCAACATTGCTTAAAAAGTTGCCCTGTGTATCAATACCTTAAAACTACAGTAAACACAAAACAAAAATGGAATACATTAAATGCAAAATGTATCGGAATCACTCATTATTGTGACTGAAACAGTCCCATCAATCTTAACATGTAGCCCAGGGTCAGTGTTTCTCAACCCGGTCCTCAGTGACACATAGACAGTCCACGGTTTTGCTCCCTTCCAGCTCCCTACCAGAGAACTAGCAAAATCAATGTGATTACTGCCTCTACTGTGAAGCTTCATGTATGATAGATCTTTCCATTTCATTTGATTTAGCCCTGAACTAGTCGAAAGTCTGTATACAAGTTATGTTTGACAGAGTTCGCACAAAATGCAATTTTCAGTTAGCGTATAAAAATACCTCCACACTTGGTTTTGTGCTTTTTGTGGCAGCCGCCATATCTTCTGATAAACTCCCATGGTTCCTTGCAATAGCAGAATATCCAAATGGAGATATCAGCATTCAAATAATAATGCTTTGAACGGTTTTCCGAAGAGTCGATTATCCATTCACACCCCTAGTACAGACCCCCCCACCCCCCACCCCACAGCTGCCTGGAACCGCAAAGAATGAATGCAGACAGAAAACAAAAGCTCTCTGTGGACTAATTACAGAATGAGGCTCAGTGAAACACGCTGACTTTCACACACCTCAAACATAAACCAGGCACGGGTGTCGAGAAGTCTTCTCAGGGTATAAAATGACTCCCCTTTCCCATCAACCTGATACCACTGTTTATAAAATGATGTCAGAATTTGGTCCCATGAGGTAACTTGTACAGAGTTATATCAGACTTATAAATATATGTGCATTTATGTTCAGGGATTAAAATATACACAGGAAAACGAAGAACATAGCAAAAGGGCAGGACACACACACACTATTGGTTTAGTAAACGAAAACAAAGCAAAAAGTGCAATTTCAGAGTGAACTGGAAATCTAAAGTGCCCAACAACGACCGGGATGAACCGTCCCAGGGGAAACATGTCCAAGCAAACAAGCTGCTTTACGCACGAATGAGATGAAGGTTCCCTATCGAAGGCAGTATCTGCTAAACAGAGGTAGTGAGTGAAGAGCCAGCCATCTCAGTGTGGGCAAAAAACAGCAAAATAAAACACTCCAGTACAACCCACTAAAACCAACAGAGAGAACCGGGTGAAACTGGGTAATTTCTAATTTAAGCATTAGTGTCAACATCCGTGTGGCACCATCACGTAACACAGATACTTGAATTAAGTTCGAAAAAAAAAATCCCTCAAAACACTGACGACTGACTAAGGGACACAAACTTAAAATGTTGAAATACTGTTACCGAAAGCCTGATAATTCCTTAATCAAAAACCCCTCTTTGCCTACTGCATGGAAGATGCTTCAGGACCCACAGTGGGTGGAGTTAACACTGCCAGTAATCTAGGGCTCCTCATTTATGGCAAAAATCATAATCAAAAAAAAATATTTTGGCCAATACTGAGCACGATTATTTAACACGGTTACTAACTGCCTTTGGAAAGATACATTTACTGAACTGAAACGGATTTCTAAAATAAGACGGGAGCATTACTGTGAAAACGAAATGCGGCAGAGCAATCATTTTATCTAGATTATTTTGTTTTGTTATTATTTTGTTTGATCAATTATTTTGCTGCAAGTGTAATTCATAATTAAAATTTAAATTCGATTAACTGTCCAGCCCTACAGTAATAACGTGTTATCTAGGGACCTAGATAATAGACTAGTCATCAGATTTAAGGTAATTTAGGCTAAATGAAAGTGAATGATGATAAAGTCTGTTCAAAATGAGGTAGCTTAGATCGTAAAGTTATGTAGCTATCTGACAAATCTCGCTTTGTGCTACAGGTCCCAATTCTTCTTGATAACCTGATTATTTCCTGTGTGTGAAATCATGCTTTGACTGAATGTAGGGGTGAATCCCCTACCCCCTGACAAAAAATTTAGCGTGAATTCCTTGATTACTGTACAGAGACGTTTTGCGAACTGGTGGGCACCCACGAGCATATGTGGAGGTTCAAAACGCATTCTGATTCAGGCACACCTCCAGACAACAAGGCCAAAGTGTGTGAATTATACAAAATGAACCCACCAATTTCCCATACATCGAATTTCCCATCATCCTCAAACAACTCTGGCAAAACAACACCAAAAAATAATCATGTCAGGTTTACGAGCTGCAACATATGAATTTAATCGAGACACATGGCTGTATTTGCCAGTTCTGTGTACGTTTTACAAGTATGTGTGTGAGTGTCCATTGTACATGGGTTTGGCTGTTTCTTTTCGAATCAGCAAACATGATTGTCCTGTTATTAATGACTCAACCACACCCTCTTTCCATCACCACAGCCCTGACATTCATCCTTTCACGTCCTTACAGTTGTCCTTCCCATTATTCCGGACTGAAACCCCCCAACTCACCCGTTCCCCAAATTTCAGGTTCATCATTCATCTTTGCGTCACATATTTTTGCAAACATGTCATTTCGGTTGCACCCCAAAGCGCAAATAGCACTTTCGCACAATGATAGGAAATTGATGTCTCGTGGGCATCACCATGGTCTGGAAACAATGACATCAATGTATTTTACAATTCAGCCTAAATGGGAGATTTTGTGGAGACGACCCAAAAGGTCAAAGAGTAAGAGATTTCAATCAAAAGACACACTTGAGTAGTAACAGTAATATGAATCTCAGCCTTTAACAAAACTAAAGGATAACTATGTACTACTTTTTATAAATTATATACCAATTTGTTTGTGAAGGCAAGATAGGTTCATGCTAGCGCCGACCCTGTTTTTCTGGTTTTATAAATGCATGCAGCAAGACTTTCGAAAAACATCTGCCGCTCCGATCAGAAACAAACGTGTGTTTTTCCATTCACGGTAAATCCAACATACAAAATCACGATATTTAATTTGACACATTCATATATATTCGGAACAAATAATAACGCGACATGCTGGAAAAGCATAAGATAAACCTAAGATATCTGGGCGACTTCCAAATTAAAGTTTTTGAACCATTAAAACACTACTGCAAAATCTTAGTCAGCCTAACTGGCCGTAAATGCGTACATTTAAGAAAGTTGAATAAATACGTAGCTAAGAAAAACAAGTCTTAGAGCTAACAATACTAAAGCAAACTTGGATTTCCATCTCCGCTGATAGTCTCGCCTATAAAAGTCATACATTTACGTACACAAACACAGCTCAAAAAAGACTAAATCTGGTAGTTCCTTACCAATCAATTAGATTTATTTCTGGCGTGTCCCATCTGCATAAGTGTGTCGTTATTTTTCAATCAGAGATGTTCCACATTTGCATGTAAGCCCTGGGTTTCGTAACTTCCTCGGGTTACCTGTGGACTGCAGCCCCTCCGCCTTACAGAAAGGGTGCGGTGCCGCTCGCCTTTATGGTGCCATAGTAGCTCTGCCTTTTCCTCGGTCTCTACAACCTGAGCCAGCTTGTCCCGCCCCTCAGGCTTATGATTGGCTAAGGCCGGGAACAAGAGCCAATAAACATAAATTAATTTTCTGCGCATGAAGGTGATTTTCTAGTGAGCGCCCGCGTGTGTCTGAGCCCGCTTGTAAGTGTAGCTCTAGAATGGATTTGTCTCTAGGTCTCTTTTAAGCCGTAGCATTAGTTTTGCTTCTGGTGACCGTGGTGTTGTAAATAATGGTGAAGGCGTCGTCGTGGAAATAGCGTGACGTACAAATTCGGTCCTGGCCATATACGTCGAACTGAAACACTGAGGTTTATGGTAATATTTCGTTGAAGGCTAAATTCAACTGTTCGTTGCAGTCAGGGTGAACCGCAGTGTGACACACCAGGTGACATGTTCAAAAGAAAAAAAAGAACAAGCAGCTGGTTACAACTGGTTAAAAAGGAGGAGGAGAGGTAAGACATGCTCCTGCTTGCTTGCAAGAGCCTGGTATGCCTTTGTTGCTGTAATTAGAGCTGCAGCCAGGCCATGCGGGGGAAATACAGAGCCTGCAGGCACAGGAGGCCCCATAGTATCAAAGTCACACGCTGCCTGAACCTACATTCCCCTGCCCTTCCCCAAAGCATTTCATGGGCCAGACGACACAAATCATGGCTGACAGACGAACATTTGTTTGGGCCCTGCTCTTCATACATTAATAGGTGACTATGAATATGCCATAGGTCTCTGTTTCTCATGCAAGTCCTTGTGGATGCCCAGGCAGTCCACATTTTTGCTCTTGCCCGATTGCCATGGAATTGCAGAGGGCAAGAACGTTGACCATCTGGGGAAGACCATCACTCTCCATCCTAGAACAGAGTTTATGAGGGAGAGATGTGTCTGACTTAGAAAAAACACTGTAGTCTACATTTTTAAATACCATGTCTGTGGTAAAAACTTTGCATTTTGAACAAAGTGTCTACAAGAATTCGCCAGTGTGTTGACCCCAGGATTTTTTATTTTAGTGTTCCCCAACCTGGTCCTTGAGGGCCTATAGATGGTTCGTGTTTTTGCTCCTTCCAGCTCCCTCCCCTACCGTGAGCTGGCAGGGAGCAAAAACATGGAGAATGGGTAGACATAAGAGGGGATTCCCAAATGACTCTTGGGTTTTTACAAATGGGGTCAAGAAATGGTACAGCAATGGCTGTCACAGTGTCATTAAATGCAAATATTTAGAGCATTCTCTTACCGTGTATTAGGTGGGCACGACATTAACGTGCTAACGACTGGTCTGACTAGATTCCTGTGTAGGTTGTGGAAGCGACGCTGCTGGACATGGAGGCATATGGGCGGCTCAGTGAGTCATTAACGCCTTTAGTCAGGGTGTTAAGGATACAGGCACGACCTTTATTTGGTAATGGTGTAGCGAGACACCTAAATGGGTTCAGGAAGCATAAGATGAAGGGCTGAGAGACGGAAATTGTGGTTCATGATTTAATGAAGTCAAAGATGGGCCAGAAGTCTGTTATTTGTAGATTATAAAGTGAGAGGGTGCCAAAGTGGCAATGGACGTATTTGGGAGAGGAGTATTTCCGTTCTTGTAATAAAAATTAGTTCTACTAACCATGCCCCCCTCCCATTTTATGGTCGTTTGAGTGCAGGGGGTCCTTCCTTCACATCTGTAATCACGCACAGATCGAGTTACTGTACTCGGCGATCTGGAAGCGATTAGCCACAAACATGGACGAACTCACGCATCATTCCAGACCCACTCAGTGCTGAGAACAGCCGACTCTACACATTCCAGGAATGCAAAAACGAGTAACACACACCGTGAAGTTTTGGTTAAAGCCGGGGAATCATGGTCCCAAGAGTCATTTTAATCTGCTAGTCACACTGAAAATGAGAGGCGGGCCCGTGGTGAACACACAAGCTGTGGTCACGCACACACGGGCGTTCATTTGCATTGCCCTTCTTGGGGGGGGTTGTGAAGGAGGTTGAGTTTAAATTGGCCGGGGGCAGAAACGCTTCACAGGAGGGGGTCTCTGGGAGAGATCCTCCACCCAATGGGTGATGGGGGAGTTTTTTGAGTGGGTGTGGGGGGTGAAACTGTAAAACAAAGATTCCAGAACGACTGTTTCAGATGACAGCCAGCTAAGAGGACACATCTAACATGAGCAGATTTTGGCACCAAGAAGGTCTTAGCTTAGGACTTGGCGTGTAGTTTAGTCAAAAACATGAAATGATTTAAAAAGGAAAAGAAACCCAGGAAGACTCATGCTGGGGAAGTTTGCATGAATGAATAACAGGGTTCTGACAAAGAGAGGAGGGGAAACTGGGCAAAAGAAAAAACAAACAGGAATGAGGATGGGTATGGAGTGAGAGAAGCAGGGGTGAGGGTGGGGTCAAAGAGGGACGTGGAGAAAGGAAGGGGGGAGGGAGGCCATCATTGTTCTGTGAGAGACGAGGTCGTGTTGCCGAGGGAGTGGATGGGGGAGACGGAGCGCGGGACAGGGAATGGAGATACTGAGACGAGGGGCGAGGAAAGAGGATACAGGAAGGAGATTGGGATGGAACGCAAGGAGAGGAAGCTGGTGAGAGACTTAACAGCGGGGGGGGGGGGCTGAGTGGGGAGGACTAATTTAGCGACCAATGGGAGGAGGGTTGCAGTTAGTACATAATCCTGGCAATTGTGGAATTCAAAGACTCATTTCACTAATCGCTGGTAGCAAAGGATGGAGCCATTGGGGGTTAAGGGCCTTGCTCAAGGACCCAACAGCAAAACCACTCTGTTGGCTTTCGAAATTGAACCAGCAACCTTCTGATTAAAAGCACAGAGTCATAACCCAATGAGCCAAACACCATCTCTGGCGGGTTTTCCACAGAGAGGCATGTCAGTTGGAGAGTCCACGATGTTTAATTACAGATAATTAACCCTGTTGATGGGTGTGGTGCTGCTCCACACCCAGACCCAACAGGAAATCTGACATGAGCTTGTTGACCACCTCAGGCTGGTCCTGCTGCACCCAGTGGCTGCAGTGCGGGATCATGTGCACTGTGGCAGCGGCCCTGGCGTACGGCCGCCCGCCACCCGACCTCCCCTCCACCAGCAGGCCGTCATCCTCGCCCCAGATGAGCATGCAGGCCACCTGCGCGTCCTGGTGCTTGTACAGGCTGTTGCTGTGACACGAAATGGGAATCAGACCGATTCACAAAGGTCGTCGTGGTAACCAAGACAGGGTGGGGCTATGAAGTCATCACAGTTAGAAATTTCTCCTCCAAATTCCCCTAAATTACTCCACAGAGTAAATAATTAGGATTTCTGCTTTTGCACATTGGCTGCACCCTGTTTTCTGGAAATACCTGTTTCAGGGGTGCAATTTTGGGGAGCTGTGAAAATGTCCAAGGGCACAATCAGGACAGAAAATCAAACCCAGCGGAGCCCTGGCCCAGCAGGACCTGAGTGTGACCACCAACCACCAGTATCCCCACACACGCACCATCGGCATTCAGGATCTGCTCCGACTAACCTGAGCAGTGCGCGGTAGTAGTGAAGTGGAGCCGTGAGCCCCCCAGGCTGGGACAGGCGGTACAGGTATCCCTCCAGCTGCTCCGCCGTCAGCTGCCGCGCCCTGTTCCTGATCCCCAAACGGCGGCCGCAGAACAGGCTGCGCACCAGCTGTATGCAGGCAGGAAGGTACAGGGGTTAGGCATATGGGGCGGGGCACAGGGATACAGGAAGATACAGGGGGTTGTGGCACAGGGCGGTACAGAAGAGGCGTAGCACAGGAAACAGGAAGATTCAGAGGAGGCTTGGCACAGGGCCCCATGGTACAGGGGGCGTGGCACAGGGCAGTACAGAAGAGGCGTAGCACAGGAAACAGGAAGATTCAGAGGAGGCTTGGCACAGGGCCCCATGGAGGTACAGGGGGCGTGGCACAGGGCGGTACAGAAGAGGCGTAGCACAGGAAACAGGAAGATTCAGAGGAGGCTTGGCACAGGGCCCCATGGAGGTACAGGGGGCGTGGCACAAACAAGAAGGTGAGGATCAGCGATTCCATTAGAAAAAAATTGGTGCGAGAAGATTTCAATATCCTGGACAAATGGGACAAATTACAGTCAATTATTATTTGTGCTCATTAATGAGCTTAAAAACAATTGATAGTCAGGCTATATAAAGAATCACATCGTCAAGGGATGTAGATTTTTACTTTTTTTTGATAAATAGGCTTTTTCATATAAAACAAGTCCCGTCAATAGACTTATGTGCATAACAAAAAAATAAAATAGACATTACGCAGGTCTATGGTGTAACACATAAACACAAAGAATTTCCTTCAGCTTAAGGCCTACATATTCTCAGCTAAAATATAACAGAAGAAAAAACCTTTTGCAAGCAAACCAAGAAATACATCTAGGCCTATCTGGTTCATAACGTTTTAATTATAATGTACTGCTGTGAACTTGAAATCAAATTATTTCCATTCACTATGGACCTTTAAAATAAAATCAAATGAAAGCTCTGAAAAAAAAACCCCCATAACCTATTGTTCTTTCTTTTTATGCTTTTTTGCAACAGTGAAACATGCAGCTACCAAATTATCGAAGGTGCCAAGTGTCTTTCCACAAATTACAATGCGCATAAAGTTTGGGACACCGGCTGGGTGGCGACTTCGACGCTGAACTGCTGCAGCGTGGACCCGCGCATTTGTCCACGCTGTCTGCGTTGCTGCTGCGGTGCTGCTATTGCAAGCCCTTTCTTTCTACTTTGGCTTCACCTGTGAAAAAGCACGTGCATGGGGGAAAAGGCATGTGGGGTATGACAACGTTCTGTCAAATTATCAACATAATAACCTGCACTGAGCTTTCTGCTCTGACTATAAAGTACATATGTAGCCTCCACTTTCTCCTTTAATAACAGCAATTGGAAACATGGTTAAAATGACTGGTAACACCTTACTTGACAGGGTACAAATACTTAGTAATAACTCAATTACTCCCGAAATACCATGAACAAATATAGTTGCTACTTGAGATAAAAGATGCGTCACGATTCATTAATGATGAAGAAACATGAGATCAGCATTTCACTTGTGTTATTCATGACTTGTTCCTTCAGTAGTTCGCAAAGGTTCACAGAATTAACAAAGTAACAAATATAGAAACTGCTTGGGATAACATGCATCACGATTCATTAATGATAAATTAACATGAAATCAGTATGTAACTAAGACTTAGTTTGTGGTCAATTAATACATTAATTATAATGTAAATAATACTTATTTGTGCCCATCAAGTGAAGTGTTATCAAATAATTAATATTTATAGTTTTTCATGTCTATGATATATACCTAGACATTGAAACTATAGTGAAAAGTGTCAGTTATGTAATTCGGCTGGTATGATGTCAGTATAACTATCAACTCATCTTCTAACTATCTCTAGATGACGTGTCAGTAGACGCATGTCTCCTGCAGGCAATGTGGCTGATCTAACCTTTTAATATCAAGATGAAGATCAATATGTTCTGCAGCTGTGACGCGCACGGCATGCGGCTGATGTGTCCTGGGCTTAAGCTCTGTGGCCTTGTCCTCCATGAGATTATTTTCTGCGGGCACACTCGAGACTGGGATCACACACGCTACCTTGGCTGGTGTGTGGCCCACGCAGGAGAGCCGTAGCAGACATCGCTGCCTGATCTGTCTCGCTCATTTCCGTTTGCTGCTAAGGTGCAGACGCGTCATCAGAGTGAATGGAACAAATAACAGTCATTAGCAAGTCTGTAGCCTACACATTCAGATAAAAAACGAATAAAGACAGCTTTTTTAAAATAGAAGAATATGAGAAAAATTTATTGTAGCCTATTGTAGCCTATTTTAATACAATTCAAATTGTGCTTAGAGAGAATTAACATTCACCGGACATTACGACCGGATAGATTTAAATTTGTAGGATTTCAACAGAATTCCCCAGTCAAAGTCTGGTAATTAACGGATAACGGAAGCCATGGTGGGGAAGTTGGGCATTGCGAGCAGGTCACAGGAAAACAGGAAACCTTGATTGGTCTGAAGCAATGTTCAGCCACACTCACAATCAAATGAAATGCATTTTTATTTAAGAAAAATCCAAAATAAACCCCAGAACCTCAGGCAGGCTGGAACTGGCCAGTTTACAGCTGAAATGTTTGACAGATTTGGGGCCATTTTACCCATAAAATGGATATTTCTGTTCAATCAGTTAGGCTTATAATGGTAAATAAACACTAATAATGAAACTAAACTTTAACGTAAAGGATCTAGCTCACGGGCCCAAAAGAGATGTGGTTACTCTGCCGAGCACAGGATATGAACCTGTGACCTTCTGATCGTAAACAGAGAGATGTAAAACCCACATCGAAAGATACAGAGAGGGTAAGAGTAGGAAGTGTGAGCAGCACTGTAGTAAACTATTCCTTCCGTTTGCATCTGAAGTCTCGAACTAACATCCTGTTAGGAGAAAATGACAAAAACATGATACCAGGGAATGTCTGTGGTTTCCAGTCACACATACCATAGTCCCACTACACCTTTCCATGGAAATGCACCACAGCTATGACGTCTGAGTGGTACCCCACGGAGAGGGGGGCTGCAGGGGCAGCTGGAAGAAGCAGACAGGTCTTCGTAAAGACTGTGTCTGTACGGGGGAGAGAGCGGAAACACGCAGAGTGGGCAAGAGATGCAGCTGCAATACTGTGATGAGGTCCTAATGGAAATTATGTTTCATTTACATTTATGTTGGGCTAAAACGATGATTTTATGTCCATCAAAGTGTGCTAGATTAACCATTGGTAAAGGTCTCCTAATGTCACCTAGGGTGACCACCTAATCTATATCAAGGTTGGACACTTTGAGCTAGGACTGGATTTGTAAACTACCATTTCAATTAGAAGGACCTGGATTTCACTTTAGCACCGAGTCCTTGGCGTGTGCAGATTGGTCAGTCTCCTATAATCATGCATGTGTCACTAATGTTAATGTGAAACAGCTGGATGAGTCCTTCAATCAAGGAAACAAACCAGTAAAAGCACAAGGAGAACTGAACTAATTAGCCAAACACTGGAGCCTCAGTTTTAAAGCAGTTCGTAAAACCCAAAGTAGCTCATGTTGTCCCCCCTGACACTGTGAGTCACCCCAGTATTTACGGTAACCATCCAACAGTCCCATGCATTGGTTGACTCAGCCACTAGCATACCATGATTGAGTAATCAGTACCTCATCTAATTATTTAACTTATTAAATTGATTAAATATGCTGGTGGTGAAATTTAATGGATATGTGCAATGGTGTCCCAGAGGAGAGGTTTGTAGCCATCCAACGTGACATGAATAACTTTTTGAAGAACAAAAGAAATTCCTGCTAGATTTTATTGTGTTACTGTTAATTTGTATATGTTCTAATGTTAAAATGTCTTCCTTTCTGATGAAATGTACATTCACTGCCCAGACAAACAGCTTTAAATGTTTCCTTTGACTGCCTAAGACTTTTGGACAGTAATGAGTCACACGGGGAAGAACCACTGCATGTGTTTCTGCATTTGGCACCATCCCAAACGGGCAATGGCATTACCAAGCCAGGCGGCGGAGTGCAGGGCGTTCATGGTGATGAGGCACTGCACCATATCAAGCCGTTCCAGGGTGAAGTACCAGGCCCATCCCGCCCCAGTCGTGTCCTGGAAAATATGGGGAAAAAACTTTCATTAATGTTAAGGTGATGCTGACACACACAGAGCCAACATGTGCGATGCTAATAGGCGGAGATGTGTGGCTCAGCAGTTGAAGTCAGTGTGATGTCATCACTGGGCTCTTGAGTAAGGCCCATAACCCCAGTTTCTCCAGGGACAAGCTGACCCTGTGTCTCAATTGTTCACCAATCTGCAAAATACATTTAATAACATTACTAATTACTATGTGCTGTCTTGCACTGCCAGGTTTAGCTCACTTCTTGCTGGTTCCCGATAAGATGCACAAGATTAGCCAAACATGGTAAATCCTGCCTACTGTGTATATGGAAGCCTTATGTCTCCTATTACTGCACACAGAGTCACACCGAGATCTCTCAGCCCCTTTTCCAGAATATAGTCTCCTGGCCTGCAGGGGGCAGCAGAGTCTCCACAGTCACGCAGGTTGAGTGCTACTGTATGATAGATGTGCCATAATTCCCCCTAATCACTTAAGCATGAACCACTGAGTGAAGTGGTTAATGAGTGTGTATACATAAGAGTGTCAATAGATAAAAAAAAGTTAACTAGTTACTCTCATGATTTTCTCTAATCATGATTTCTCTCACTGTCAAGTTTGTTTCAGGTGGTACCATGCATTATTTCATAGCTAAGACATATAATTCCTTTTTATCTTCTACCAAAGGGAACAGTCATTTTGGAGGGCACTATATATTTGTGTAGGTCCTTGAAATTCTAACATACCTTATTGTCAAACATCTGGAAATAAGGCGGAGATTACAATACATAAACTTATGTGATTACTGGTGGTGCAGGAAGAGCGAATGGAATGATATGGTTGTGAGTAACAGTCTAAATGCAGATTTGATCATTAAACTTGTGTCTAATAGGCACCATAGTGCAACTGTCTATATGGAGTAAAATGTACTACATGGTAAAATTTACTTGCCACTAATTATTTACAACACATTTGTAAATGAGGTATTTTTATGAGCTAATTTAATTAACTGATAGTATTGACTATATCTTTTGTAGTCAGACTGGTATCATTATATCTGATGGTAAGTGAAGCAGATAAGTTTCTACCACATAACAAGTCCCAAATTGAACCCTGAGCTAACCCTGTTTTCCATTTCTGAGCTGATTTAATATTTTTTGTTGAATTGATTGATTCTTAGCCGGAGTAACCTTCTTTGTCAGGCGGAATTCTGGCTTTCCTTCACATCAGAGATGAAAGTGGGACTGTGAGATACATTTGCACTATAGATTGTATCAGTACTGACTGGCTACACACCACATGCCATAGTTTGTGTCAGTGTGCTGTGTGGCCAATCAGCATTCTTATACTGTTGGCCAATGAAAACAATCTTGGGAGTTTGTCAGACATGCCAGGCATAGTGTGCGCTTAAAAAAATGGTGTTTATCATGCAAGCTGTTACTCCATCTCTGGTTGTTCAGGGTGATGATTGAGAAGCAGACTGACCAATGGCTGCATGGAGGGGTGTGTACATAATCGACCTATTATTGCGTGCAAGATGGTGGTCACCCTACAATATTTACCAAGGATCTTTAACAGCACTACATTATCCAGAAGAACCAACCTTTCAAATTTGCTTAGCCATGTTGATTTTTAGTCTGTTTTCCATTCTGACCTCCTTCTGCTGCTCCTCTTGCCAATAAACCATCAAAGTACGTTTGGGTCACAGAATGGACCGTCTGCATTGTTTTGATTTTCAGGTAATATATACCTTTGCATGCAGCCTATGTGTGGGTGCAGCCATGTGCATAGTAAGTAGACACCAGTATGAACCAGTAAGGCGCAGGAGCTGCTGTCCACGGGTATCAGGAGAATCTTGCAAAACCCAAGGCTTACGTGCAAATCCGGAATATGATTGAAAGATAACGACGCATTTGCGCTGATAGGACAACGACAGAAATACATCTTCTTGATTGGTAAGAAACTACCAGTTTAATGTTTTGAAGATGTTTTTGTGCACGCAAATGTATGCATAAGAGGCGAGGCTTTATCAGCGGAGACGATGAGAGAGTTTGCTATAGTAGTGTTGGCTTTCAGACTTGAAAAGTCTACATATTAGCTATGTAGACTCAGCTTTCTCAAATGTACCCATTTATGGCCAGTTAGGCTGTGGTCTTTGCAATGATAAAGATTTTGCTGTTGCTTTAATGGTTGCGTGTGCTCAAAAAAATGTCCATTTGAAAGTTGCCCAGATAATACAACCTTCAGTTTGTGGTTTTTCAGCATTTTGTCAGATACCCCACCCTGGCCATGATAAGGGGGTGCAAATTTGTTGACTGGGAGAGGTGGGGTGCCAGCAGTTAAATTGGTCGATGGGGGGTTGGGGAGGGGGAAGTGGGATGGGACAGTGCTGCCAATAAGTGTCGGAAGTATTATGAGCATCCGATGAAGGATACAATCATCGTCTTGGACCATCCCTGGGCCCAAGCACCTCTGGGCAAAGCTGAACATCCTTTGATCCTGTTGACATTCTCCTTATAAGCATAAATTAAAATTGGAAAACCAGCAAAGAAAACTTGGTTCTGAGTTGGACTACTGAAGCCACTGAGCAGCTACAAGACTCCTTTGATTTAACTGATTGGGACATCTTCAAAAATTAATGCAAAAAATTTGATGAATATATCGATGTTATGATTGATCATGATCCTGGTTTTGACAATTCGATATTGATTCATAAAATCCCCAGAGTGATCTAGTTAATTTATGCCTTTTCCCTGTAACTTTGAAAATATTTTTGCCAAATTGTACTTATATTGGTCCTCTTATTGAATAGGTGGCCCTACTCTTGCATGCTCCTCCTCTCCCTTGGCAGCAATGTGTATAGACATTGACGGCGACGACACACCCGGATGCTACTGCAACCGGTCGCTGGAGTTCTTCTACAATCACAGTGACAAGCACATCAGCAATTCGTGGACCTCGCAAAACCTGCTGGTGGTGATCCTGGGCATCATAGTTTGTGCCTTCATCCTCTTTGCCAACAGCTTGGTCATGGTGGCCATCATCATCAACCGTGGCTTCCACTACCCCATCTACTACCTACTGGGCAACCTGGCTGCGTCCGACCTGTTTGCCGGCGCCTCTTACCTCTACCTGATGTTCCATACGGGCCCCTGGATTACAAAGATGACCAAAGCCCAGTGGTTTGTGCGGCAGGGTCTGATCAACATAAGCCTGACAGCGTCTGTGGTCAATCTGCTGGCCGTGGCCGTGGAAAGGCACCAGATTATCTTCACTGTCAAGTTCCACAGCAGGATATCCAATTGTCGGGTGGCACTGCTCATCCTGGGCATCTGGCTAGTGGCCCTGCTGATGGGCCTCATCCCCAGCATGGGCTGGCACTGCCTGTGTGACCTGAAAAACTGCTCCACCATGGTGCCCTTATACAGCAGGAGCTTCCTGATCTTCTGGGCCGTGCTCAACCTGGTCATCTTTATTATCATGGCGATCATGTACTTGCGCATCTTCCTGTACGTGCACAAGAAAATCCAGAGGATATCCCAGCACCAAACACAGAAAAAGCAAATGGATACTGTCATGAGTCTCGTGAAGACCTTGACCATGATCCTAGGTGAGGGACCGTACTCACATACAAGTGAATGTACACTGGACAGCCTTTTCACAGAGACATACATTCATGGTTGTTTGGCCGCTGATGCCCCCCAAAAGTCATTGATCACTGTACCAAATTCAGAGACGACAACCGGTTCCTGCCCCCCCCCCCCCCCCCCCCCCCACGCTATCACTCTCTGTAGAGATTGAGATGATCACTGATTAAGCTGTTTGTATCCTCCAGGTGCTTTTGTGATCTGCTGGACTCCAGGTCTAGTGGTCCTCCTGCTAGATGGCCTTGGCTACAGGGGCACAGGCATCCTGAAGGTGCATGAGTACTTCATGGTCCTGGCTGAGTGTAACTCTGTGGTCAACCCCATCATCTGCTCCTTGCGGAACCAAGAGATGCTGTCGACCTTTAAGGGCATCTTATGTAGCCCCTGCAGGAGGGGCGGGGTGCAGAGCGTTCCTGCTGATACCCTGATTCAAGAGGTACTCTCAGAAAGTTCCAGTAACAATCACTCCAACTCACACAATGTGCACAAAGGATGGGCCATTTAAATGCTGCTCCGGTCAGGTGTATGTGCATGTTTGTGTCTCTGTCCTTTGTTTGTCTATCCACAGTGCCAGTGTGGGTCATTTATGTATGTGTATCTGTACATAATTCTGTCACATTTCTGCATGTGGATAAGAAGGACCTATCAGCTGTCTATCTGTGAGATGCAGGGACCCTCAAGTGCGTCACGTCAGTGACGCAAACAAACCAACATTACCATATGGCCTGTTCTTCATAAAAGATTTTTCTTTGTTATTTATTCATCCTTTTTAAAGTTGTTCATTTCTCAGTCCCTAATTTTCCTTTTACAGTAATGCTATTGTTCTGCTTAAACTAATAGCTCAGTCAAAGGATGTGACACTGACACCTAGATCACGTCCATCCATCCATTCTCTACTGCTTATCTGGATCCAGGTCATGGAGGCAGTAGTCAGAGCAGAGATGCCCAGACCTCCCTCTCCCCAGCCACCTGTTCTAGCTCTGCCAGATGGATATCCAGGTGTTGCCATGCCAGCTGAGGCATATAATCCCTCCAGCATGTCCTTGCTCTGCCCAGGGTTTTCCTCCTGGTGGGACATGTCTGAAGCATCCTAGACAGATACTCGAACTGCCTCAGCTAGTTCCTTTGTGTACGGAGGAATAGTGACTCTACTTTGAGCCCCTCCCAAATGTCTGAGCTCCTTACCAGATCTCTAAGGCAAATCCCAGCCACCGTGCAAAAAAAAAAGCTACTTTCTGCCACTTCTATCCATGATGTCATTCTTTCAGTCACTATCCAGTGCTCATTACCATACATGAGGGTAAGAATGTAGATCAGTCGACAAATTGAAGACTTTGCCGTTTGTCTCCTCTCCCTCTTTACCACCACAGACTCACACAATGTCCGCATAACCTCCTGTCCCTGATGCATAAACTCCTCCACTTGAAGCAGTAACTCACCTCTTCCAGGTGTAAACTCAACAATGACAGGCCAGTCATACCCAGCCCCCAGCCCTATGAGGACTTTACCTTCACATAATTTCCATTTCAAATGTGTGATTTTTCATTGTCATCTTCAAATGTTTTCTCCTCTTAAACTGATGCATGGTGTCAGCTAACCTTCTCTTTCTTGGTATGGGGATTGTCTTTCTCCAGCAACTCCAAAATGAAGAGGACTTAGGGAAGACCCCCCAGCGCCGTGTCAACGCCCCTGCAGTGCAGAATCATGGCCCGATTGTCGAACAAACACTCACTTTGGAGTCTTAATTTTGATAGGGAGGCTGAGCCACCAGGTTGGGAACTAACATGTATCCTGAAGCTCTGGATTTCTGGGGTGAAATAGCTCTGGGTAGAAGCACACAGTTTGTCTGATGGCTTACGGATTTACCTACAGCGAACTGCGAAGTCTCCTGGTTGCCGGGGCAGACCGGCAAACTCTGTGTGTTATCGACATGAAAGCTTTTATTTGTACTTGATGCTGTTTATAATGTTCAGTCACTGGTGTTTAATGTTTAGCCTCCCAGTGACTGAAATGAAAACTTGCCTTTGCTATTTGATGTGATTTGTGCTTTTGTCCACTTTTATGAAGATGGAACGACAATATCATCGGTAATCAGCTATATCAGACAAGTCGATATCTGTCGATATCTGACAGTAACCAACAAAAGGCTGCATATTAACACCTTTTTTACCCTCTGTGATCAGACTGAAGACAAAGTATGGCTAGCGGATTTGAAGAAAGATTAGCTAAGCAAATCCGGAAATACCAGTATGTATATGTCTCCTCTCTTCTGGATTATAAAGTTTCAGGTGGCTGCAATCAGAAATAAAATACATCTTTGTAATGGCAATGCCATACAACAGTCTATGGAAGCCTGCTTTTTTAGTCAAGCAGGTAGCATCACCTCCTCTGCAAGATGCTATATTTAGGAATATATCCCAAACATACATTATTCACATGATGTAATCAGCTGGCAAGTTACTTTGGATGCCATGGTAGCTGGCTACATTCTGAAAGCAGTATAACAGGGTAGCACTACTGCTGCCTTCATTGCTTTAGTTTGAAATATTCAATTATTCTTGTGAAGCCAGTGTTTGCATAGGGCTTCCAGTATCCTACCGAATGAAATACACGTTCGGTATTTTTCACCAACTTTAATTAGAACACATTTTGTGCAATGTCACAAAGCATTAACGTTAGATATGCCTGGATCACACTCGATCGGGTGAAGTTTAAGTTTAATTGCACCTTTTCATTTCAAACCTGCTTAACATTTACAATGTAATTATCCTTTCAAGATTCAATGCAGGCTACCACTCACACACAGCTGGAAATATTACAATGCCGGGGCAGAGCGGACGCAGCCATTGTAGCCTTCGCTTGTCAGCCACTGTAGGCATGTTGCATAGAACCATAAAAGTAGAGGAAGAAGTGATATCATACGTCTCTGACTGCTTGATGGTTGTTAGAAAAGAACTCAGAACTTTGAGAAATGAAGTCGCAATTAAGCAAACTTCTTTTTTGTAATGTGGCAGGAACGGACTTCCATACCTGTCTGTGTCCTTGCGTACTCTGATTTACATAATGTATGGTTATTTTTAGTAAAATACTTATTTTTATTTAGAGATGCTCAATGTATCAGTAAACATTTCAGTATTGGTCGATATTTGTTCAAAATCAAGATCTGGCATTGGTCTGATGTATCAATCTTTGCAAATATTTAAACTTTAGCAATATTCTAAGTATACTAGCACCAGCAGTAAAGACATAACTACGAAAGTAATGTACATTTATTATTATACGATCGGGCATTTTCCATAGTAGAAGACGAGGGATTTTGTCGGCTTACACCAATTAAAACTACATTTTTCTGCAAAGATCCATCGAACCTATAAACGTCTTTGCTGAATTTAGAAGGTTAGGCCCATTAGAATAAACGTATTAATGTGGATATATAGTTGCTCTCCATGAATTTATAAACGAAGTGCCGTTTACAGTTTGTTGTAGGCCTAGCTTTCAACATTTTACAATTGTAAAATACATGTATTTGAAATTGCATTACAATGTTATTATTATTAAATATGATGCCTTGAACAATGTGCTCATACAGAATACAAATTTAGCAGATGAATGCATGCTGCAAGTGATTGATACAACTCTAAGAAATGCATTCTAAAATGAAAACAATTAGTTTTTTGTGGATATTCCTTTTAAATTCCTTTTTTTAAAATACTATTTACCTGTTTAGGTCCAGAATGACAAAAGACATGAAAATGAACAGAAGATTTTAAACAAAAGAAAAGAAAGAGTATGTCGAAATTGCCACCAGCTACACTCTGCAACAATACAAGCATCAAACACTAGCTGGGAGAGATGAAATGTCAAACGATTGTAGGGCTTGTAGGGCTTGATGATGTGTCGATAAAATATTGTATGGTTATTATGATCATTCATATCATCATCAATTTGAATAAAGTATCATGATATACCCTAAACACTTGTTTTATTTTTGCAAAATTAACAGTTACAATGCACCCCTAGTATTGATGCATCCCTGCAGGGAGCTTCCATGCCTCTAGTGAGCCAATCAGACATCAGTGTTTTTTGCCCAGCAACATACCATCTAGATAATAATGGCCGGCAGCCTGATGAAAGCTACACCACCACTTCCGAGGCCACATATGAAAGTCCTCTGTCACTTCTGATGGAAGCCATGGACACAGAAGCCTACTAATTCATTCAAGGGAACGTCAACTGAAACAGCCCCAAGCAGAACTGAGACTTGGGTCATAATGGTTGATGCAAAACAACAAGATGTGAAGTTGAATTCTTTCATTGACCCAAAATAAGGAAGAAAGGGCATTTGCTTCACTGCATTTGAAGATATCTTGGGTAATCTGATGATATCCTCACAACCGGTTTGCGCAAGATACAGCAGGCAAAGATATATCTGCTGAAGAAAAGATCAGTTTGCATTCCTGTGTTCACGGCTGAATATATGAACTGAATTTCAAGATGTGCATTTCTCGCTGGTATATGTTTACCTGATTTTCTGGAAAGTGTGTTCTGATATTTTAATGGATTTCAAGTGTCAAAATCACCATTTTAAAGACACAACAAGACTGACTTCTATGATAACTTATCTCTCAAATGACTTTCATTAAAGGTAACATTCAAGTTGGAATGTGACCAAATACTTGACCAATCTCATGTTTATATATATGGACAAGTAGCATAAAGTTGTGGATTGAGTGATGTGGAAAATGTTCTTGTTTGTTACATTTTACATCATCACTGTCAATCACTCATCAATTCTGTCAGATTGAATTTTTGTTAATATTTTTCTCAATTAACACCTTATATCCCATTTCTTCCACAATGTCTTTCCATTAAAGCTGTGGATTTTCATTTATATCAGTACTTTTTTGCCTTTGGGGGCGGGGCTTAAATAAAAGGGGGATGATTCATAAAAACCCAAAAGAAAGTCTTTCAGGGTAACATAAAATATTTTTTAAAAGCTAATGTAATGAATTACAAAATATGGAACTCCAATTTCATAATAATTAAGATAATTAAGTTGCATGACATGTTCTTAAGAATGACAAACATTTTTAGTTCTGATGGTGTCTATGACATACACGAAAAACATTCAATTAAAAAAAGGTTGAAATTAGGTAGAAAATAATTACCATGCAGGGTGGTGAATAATAAATCTCCCTCATTGAAAAGACCATAAACGTACACTCATTCAATTTTACAGTGTGTTGTATTTCATTTTAACTAGCAGATGCACTCAGTTATCAAGATGTACTACATGTTGCACAAACCTTCATTGCCAATTATGGTCAGCGACGATGGTCAAGCTGATGTCGTTGCCACATCCCCAGACACGTCAACATAGATGTAAAAAAAACAGAATTTCATTCCAAGGTACAGTATGTAGAATTATTTGAGTTGTGTAATTATATTGATGTAATTAGATTTTCTTGAAATTTCCTTAACTCTGGTAAAGTAGATATGATGTTCTTATGACAGTGTTCATTTAACTAGATCGAACTAGAACTAACATCTATCATTAATTGGAACCTTTTGTGCTGCACCATGTTATGCTTTGTCTGTGTATTTTGATCTCTTGATTCACGTGGGAAGCAGAACACATTATTATAGGTTTTTGCTTTGTCAGACTTTGCTGTGTAGCTCCCGCTCCAACGCTTATTAAACTTGTACCTAGAAATTGATTGGTGGCTCGGCCTGGTTGCAGTTAGGTCTAGGTGACAGTTAGGTCTAGCTGACAGTTAGGTCTAGGTGAAAGCATCTATTTTTGCATTGTGCTATTGGCTCCACTTTTATGTCACTTTGGACCAAGGTGTTTGCTAAATATGTAAAATGTAATGTAAAGGACGACTAAGCAAAGAGTAATGAGAAAGATTCAGTCTTCAATGAAGCATGCCTGGGCAGATTAGGAACTTTGAAAAATGTTTTGTGTAATAACAGTGGACTTATTATGGCAACTGATGGCCTGTTTTGATTTATTCTATAGCAGGAGTGGGCAGTAGTATGCACAAAGGCCCAGTGTTTATGCAGGTTTTTGGGATAGCTTAGGGTGACAAGATAATCCCTGTCAGAGATGACACTTTGAGCAAGGGCAGGATTTGTAAATTACCCATTTCTATGAAAAGGACATGGATTTCACTTAAGCACTGAGCTTTTGTTGTGTGCTGATTAGTCAGTCTCCTACAATCATGCATGTGTCACTAATGTTGATGCGAAACAGTTGGACGAGTCTTTCAATTAAGGAAGCCAACACAGTCAAAACACAAGAAGATCTGAACTATTTAGCCAAGCACAGGAGCCTCTCAGTTTTAAGGTCGCGTGTAAAACCTGAAGTAGCTCATAGTGTCCTCGCTGACATGGATTATCTGGTCACCCAAGATAACCTTTTGATCAGCTGTTCAAACCCAGGTGTGAGGACTCTTCAGCCAATCAGTCCACTAATCAGTAATCTAATTAGGGAGTTGCATCAAAAACCTGCATACACAGCGGCCCATTTCATGGCCACCCCTGTTCTATGGCCATAAAATGAAACAATCATGTATAAGGTGGTAAATGTGAACTCTTTATTTACTTGTAAGGAGTACAAGAGTAGTATTGAGCAAAAATACGATTTGATCATATAGACTATTGAGGCATTACTTATTACACATTAAAGTCCATTAACATGGTTGCATGCTATTGGAGGCATTTGTCAGTTCTCTACAAACACAATGCAGCTGTGCTGCCTGAACTTTGGTCATTGCCTTGCAACTTTTTGTTTTGAAGAAAACACAGGAAAACGGCTATCACACATCGCAATGGAGTTCATGATTAAAGTCCCTATTTTGTGGCTTATTTGGAAGTGTTTTGGCCTGAGCAGGAACAAGGACAATCGTGTTTGGGCACGGTACAAATCAACCATGCCAAAAGTGAGAAGGGCAGAAACTCTTCACAGGAGGGAGTCTATGGGAGAGATCCTCCACCCAGTGGGGGATGGGTTTGTTTTTTGGATGGGTGGGGGGTGAAACTGTAAAACAAAGAGCCTAGAACGACTGTTTCAGATGACAGCCAGCTAAGAGGACACATCTAACATGAGCAGATTTTGGCACCAAGAAGGTCTTAGCTCAGGGCTTGGCGTGTAGTTTAGTCAAAAAACATAAAACAATTTAAAAGGAAAAGAAACCCAGGAAGACTCATGCTGGGGAAGTTTGCATGAATGAATAACAGGGTTCTGACAAAGAGAGGAGGGGAAACTGGGCAAAAGAAAAAACAAACAGGAATGAGGATGGGTATGGAGTGAGAGAAGCAGGGGTGAGGGTGGGGTCAAAGAGGGACGTGGAGAAAGGAAGGGGGGAGGGAGGCCATCATTGTTCTGTGAGAGACGAGGTCGTGTTGCCGAGGGAGTGGATGGGGGAGACGGAGCGCGGGACAGGGAATGGAGATACTGAGACGAGGGGCGAGGAAAGAGGATACAGGAAGGAGATTGGGATGGAACGCAAGGAGAGGAAGCTGGTGAGAGACTTAACAGCGGGGGGGGCTGAGTGGGGAGGACTAATTTAGCGACCAATGGGAGGAGGGTTGCAGTTAGTACATAATCCTGGCAATTGTGGAATTCAAAGACTCATTTCACTAATCGCTGGTAGCAAAGGATGGAGCCATTGGGGGTTAAGGGCCTTGCTCAAGGACCCAACAGCAAAACCACTCTGTTGGCTTTCGAAATTGAACCAGCAACCTTCTGATTAAAAGCACAGAGTCATAACCCAATGAGCCAAACACCATCTCTGGGGGGTTTTCCACAGAGAGGCATGTCAGAGTCCACGATGTTTAATTACAGATAATTATTTTTGCAGGAAGATGAGCAATATTAGCAGAGAATTCCAGAAGCTTCACTGTCCAGCCTCCACAATCTCCAGCTTCTGGGTTACAGTCCATCTCGCCCCTGTTGATGGGTGTGGTGCTGCTCCACACCCAGACCCAACAGGAAATCTGACATGAGCTTGTTGACCACCTCAGGCTGGTCCTGCTGCACCCAGTGGCTGCAGTGCGGGATCATGTGCACTGTGGCAGCGGCCCTGGCGTACGGCCGCCCGCCGCCTGACCTCCCCTCCACCAGCAGGCCGTCATCCTCGCCCCAGATGAGCATGCAGGCCACCTGCGCGTCCTGGTGCTTGTACAGGCTGTTGCTGTGATACGAAATGGGAATCAGACCGATTCACAAAGGTCGTCGTGGTAACCAAGACAGGGTGGGGCTATGAAGTCATCACAGTTAGAAATTTCTCCTCCAAATTCCCCAAACTTACTCCACAGAGTAAATAATTAGGATTTCTGCTTTTGCACATTGGCTGTACCCTGTTTTCTGGAAATACCTGTTTCAGGGGTGCAATTTTGGGGAGCTGTGAAAATGTCCAAGGGCACAATCAGGACAGAAAATCAAACCCGGCGGAGCCCTGGCCCAGCAGGACCTGAGTGTGACCACCAACCACCAGTATCCCCACACACGCACCATCGGTATTCAGGATCTGCTCCGACTAACCTGAGCAGTGCGCGGTAGTAGTGAAGTGGAGCCGTGAGCCCCCCAGGCTGGGACAGGCGGTACAGGTATCCCTCCAGCTGCTCCGCCGTCAGCTGCCGCGCCCTGTTCCTGATCCCCAAACGGCGGCCGCAGAACAGGCTGCGCACCAGCTGTATGCAGGCAGGAAGGTACAGGGGTTAGGCATATGGGGCGGGGCACAGGGATACAGGAAGGTACAGGGGAGGCTTGGCACAGGGAAATAGGAAGGTACAGAGGGGGAATGGCACAGGGATACAGGACTGTGCAGAGGGGGCGTGGCATAGGGAAACTAGAAGATACAGAGGTACAACCACACACCTATAGAGGTAAGAGTGAAGCTTAGGGTCTGTTATCGATCCAGTGCTTTGTTTTTTAGGGGGGGTGGTATTAACTTGCTCAAGGACCCAGCAGAGATGTGGCTACTCTGCGGAGCATGGGATTTGAATCTGAGGCTGATGGTACCTTGAAGTCCTCCACGGAGAGGGCGATTTCAGGCAGTAGGGGCAGTTGGAAGAAACAGACATGTCCAGCCTGCAGGAGCTGAGAAGGTCGTCGCAAGACCGCATCTGTATGAGGAGAGCGGGAACACACACAGTGGGCAAGTAATGCAGCCGCAGCACTGTCAGGTCAGGTCAAGTGGGGAGCATGCGCTGATGCAGCAAGACAGGGAGCACCAGGACTCTAAAGACTTGGACCTTCGTCCTCTTGCAAAGGTATCGGGAGCCACACACCCCTTTCCAGCACCCTGATGACCCCCCCATGATCTCCCAATCCGTCTGCTGACTTCATAGAAGAGTCACTAGAGATATTAATGTCGCTGCCGAAGTAGGTAAATCTCTTACAGACAGACACACTACTGATGGCTGTACCTAAGAAGTCATTAAATGCCTTGAGCTTGGTCTCGGACTAACCATCCAATATACCCATGTATTGGTTAACTTGACCACTAGGATACTAAGATTGGCTAATCAATACCTTCTCAAATTATTTTACTAATTAATTAACCAGCTGGTTGGGAAACTTAATGAATACATGGACTGGTTGTGGTATTCATCTACCCATCCAACAAGATATCAGTAACTTTTTGGAAAACAGAAGAAGTTCCATCCATCCATTTTTTCCAGCTAATCCTGGTCCAGGTCATGGGGGCAACAATCTAAGCAGGTATGTCCAGCCACCTCTTCCAGCTCCTTCAGTGGAACATCCAGTCATTCCCAGACCAGCCAAGTGATATAATCTCTCTAGCATCTACCTGGATCTGTCTCAGTCTCTTCCAGGTTGGACATACTCGAAGCATCCTAAGCAGATGAACCACCTCAACTAGGTCTTACTGATAAAGAGAAGCAGCAGTTCTACTCTGAGCCCCTCCGAAATGTCCAAGCTCCGGAACCTGTCTCTAAGTCTGAGCCCAGATATCCTGTTAAGGAAGATAATTTCCACAACCTGTTTCCACAGTCTCATTCTTTTGGTCACCATTGCTTGTGACCATAGGTGAGGGTATGTCAATCAACCCATAAATCCATAGCTTTGCCTTTCAGCTCTGCTGTCTCTTCATGTGTGCGTAACTGCTGATTCTGCTCCGATCTGCCAATCAATCTCTGGCTCAATTCTTCCCTCACTTGTGAACAAGAGACACTTGAACTCCTCCACTTAAGGCAGTAAATCATCCCTAATCTGGAGGCGCTAATCCACCCTTTTCTGGTTGAGAACCACAGTCTCAGACTATGCCCTTGCACACACTAGAGGTCATAGCTCGATGAAGCCAACAGGACTACATCATCTGGAAAAAGCAAAGATGTGTTCCTGAGGTCATCAAACCAGACACCCTAGAAATTCTGCCAGTAAAAGTTATGTACAGAATTGGTGACAAAGGACAGTCCTGGTGGAGTCCTTCACCCACCGAGAACCACTCTAATTTACTGCTGGTGATGCAAACCAAGCTCTCACTCCATTTATACAGGGACCTGACGGCCTGTAGCAGAAGGCCTGGAATCCCATAATTCCAAAGCATCCCCACAGGACCCCCTGAGGGACACAGTTGTATGTCTTTTCCAAATCCACAACACACCTGTACACTGGTTAGAAAATTCCCATGAGCCCTGCAGTATCCTTGCGCGGGTAAAGAACTGATCAATGACCAGGACAGAATCTGCATCGTTTCTCCTGGATCTGTCAGTGGACCCTCCTCTCCAGTACCCCAGCATAGACCTTCCCAGGGAGGTTGAGGAGTGTGACCCCCCCTGAAGTTGGAAGACATCCTCTGGTCCCCTTTCTTAAAGTCTGGGACCATCTCCCCAGTCTGCCAATCCAAAGGCACTATCCTCAATGTCCATGTAATGGTGAAGAGGTGTGTCAGCCAAGACAGCCCAACAACATCAAGTGCCTTTGGGAACTCAGGGCCCAGGACTGCTTCAGTGACCTCAGCCCCAGAGACGGGTAAGTCCTCCTCTGAGTCCCCCTTCTCTACTTCCTCCAAGGAAGGAGTGTTAGTGGGATTCAGGAGGACCTCAAAGTAGTCCTTCTACACCTGACTATATCTCCAGTTGAAGTCAACAGCACTCCATCCCTGCTGTAAACATAGATAAATCCCTGCTTCCTTCTCCTGAGTCACCTGATCATTTGCCAACCAAGGTTTTGCTTCCACAACTGCTAAAGTCGCATTCTGCTTGACCTCCCGGTACCTACTTCAGGTGTCCTACAAGCTACCCAAGCTCTGAAGGCCTCTTTCTTTAGCCTGACTGCTTCCAACACCATGTTCAATCACCGGGTTTGGGGGGGGGGGGGGGGGGGGGGTTGCCATTGGGACAGGCACCAACAGCCTTAGAGCCACAACTCTGCAGAACCACCTCACATTGCCCACAAATTCCCGGTAAACGGCGAAGGGGCTGAGCCACACAAGGAAGAACCACGGCATGCGTTTCTGCCTCTGGCACCATCCCAAACCAACAATAATGTTACCTAGCCAGGAGGCGGGGTGTGGGGCGTTCATGATGATGAGACGTTGCACCATATCAGGGCGTTCCAGGGCGAAGTACCAGGCCAGCATCCCGCCCCAGTCGTGCCCAACCAACACGCAACTCGTGTGTCCTGGAAATATGGGGGAAAAAAATTATGTTAAGGTGATGCTGACACACACAGAGCCAACATGTGCAATGCTAATAGGGGGTGATGTGTGGCTCAGCAGTTTAGGATGCTGTGCCCATGATCAGAAGGTTGCTAGTTGAAATCCCGTGCCTGACAGTGTGATGTCATCATCGGACCCTTGAACAAGGTGCTTATACCCAATTGGGACAGGCAGCCCCTGCTTTCTCAACTGTATGTTGCATTGGAGAAAAGCATCTGCTAAATGCTAACTGACATGTTTAATCCCCTTCTTACTGGTTCCCAATGGGATGCACAAGGCAGCGATTGGTCACAGATGGCAAATCCTACCTACTGTGGATCTGGAAGCCTTATTTCTCCTATTCACTGCAAATAGAGTCACACCTAGGCTGCTAATGGTGTCCCTGATGTCATCCAGCAGCTTTTCCAGAGCATAGTCCTCTGGCCTGCAGGGGGCAGCAGAGTCTCCACAGCCACGCAGGTCGATGGCCACTGTGTGGTACTGAGCGCTGAACTCACACATCTGGTACCTCCAGGAGTACCTACAATAGGCCGGGGAAACAGTGAGATTTGGCTTCATCAGAATTATCCTCAATAAAATTAAGAACAAGAAGGAATTATTTCAGTCCTGATCTCTGGGACCAACTGTTAATCTATGAAAGCTGGATTGTCTATTAAATTAGGCTTAATTCAATTGTACAATAAGTCCCAATAATGTTTTCACATACAATGGATTTCTTACTGAGCAAATGTGACTAAAACACAGAATGTAATAATATCAACAACACAAACATGTTCTGCAGTCTTGGAAGATAATTGTGTCACTAAATAAATACATTCAGTTAATTATTGTCAATTTACTAACAATTAGTATGGATGCTTTGGTAGTCTGTAACTCCAGTGGGGGCTGGCGGGACTGCTCCAGACTTTGTCAGTAATTCTCTTGCATGTTTCCTTGTAAAGCATTCAGTAATATCAGCGATGACGACTTGATTGCAATGAATCATTCCTAATAGTCTCTTAACGGCTAAGTAACCGGATCGGGGCTGGAGTAATTTTAATCATGGGGATTTCTCCATTAAGACAACTGGGATGCATACGTGTGCACAGACACATGCTGTAACTGTGGGAAAACCAAGCAGATTGCTCCTTAATCACCTCCCCCAGGAAGCATCATTTTAAAACAACTTTATCAGATGATAGACGCTGCGTGAAAAATGGTGACGGCGCTCTTACACGGCACTTCGCTGTTTAATGCCCTCTACTGGTGACTGATAATAAGCAGATTTACTCGGGATGTGCGTGCCGGCGCTCACCAGTTCTCCGGAAAACCGTGAAGGAAGAGCATCAGAGGATTTTTGTTGTCCCCTTTCTCTACATAATGGAGCCGCAGGCCGGAGCTCTGAGACAAGGAATAAAGCGGAGACAGATAGAAATTAAAATTAAGAAATGAGATTAAGGAGGACAACAGAAGACAGAAAGACACTATTGTTATGAAGACCATCATTTGGCATCACGCCTTTGGAAGTTGTCATTGCTACATCACACCCCTCAGCGCCGGGTCAGTGCGGGTGGAGACGTTACCGGGATGAGGTTCAGGCGCTCGCCTAATTTTAAGCTCTTTTTTTGGCATCAGCCCCGTGTCACTGGTGCCAATCGCACTCCTATCGGTTATTTTTCTAATTATAGACAAGGTGGGACATTGAGTCATCGGCGACAGAGGACGTGACACAAAGGGCACAGAGGACAGAGACCGAAGCCGTTTTTGATCAAAAATTAAACAAGGAGAGGTTGACAAGTTCATCCGTTCATTCAGATCAAATATTGTTAATTAACGCTGTGTGCAGTTTATAAATTCGGCGTTTCGAAGCCACATCTTACTGTCGCCAGTGAGGTTAGACTGTTACGCACCTGGGGGCCAAAAGAACACTGCCAAAAGCCGGAAGCACAGAAATGCCGTTGCAGTCAAATATATAGCCTACTAGTTTCCACGTTGGAATTGATTTTTCAAAGTTGATTCTCTATTATAGCCCTTACCCTGGCCCGCACATATCCGTGTCTTCCTAGTTCGGGGTCCCGCAGGCAGGATGGTGGGGATTTGCGAACTGTCCACTGAAACGTTTTACGGGGATTCTTCAGTCCTCTCCATGCAATACGGGTCAGAACCATGCTTGCAGTTATCAAAGCCGTGCCATATACCAGGACCCAGTAAAGTAAGGATAAAAGACACAGGCAGAACCGGGTCGGCAGCAGCAGAAACCTTGTAATCTTGTTGGACATTGCTCCTAGCGTCGTAATCAAACGTGAAATGTTGTTTGGTGAGTAATTCAATTAGATGAATAACAAGCACGCCGGTCGTTGTTGACCCACATTTGTCTGAATGAATTTTTTTATTTTAGGGACGGATGAGCCTAGTCCCGTGTCCGACCGGTGAGATCGCGATCTGCCGCGATTGTGCATTTGCTAAATCCGAATCGTCTAACTAACAAATTAATCGCAGTAGTTATAATCCAATATTTCAGGATCGCTACCAAGAAGTTCGCAAGCACAACCTGTGGCCATTAGTTGTGCACTTTGAAATAAGAAACGCGCAACACTGACGTATAATCAGATATAGTAATTAAATCATAAAAGCCATTTTGTCTGAAAGTAAACAACACATAAACAATTAATCAGACCTAGAACATGTATACTACGCCAAGGGACTTTGTCATCTAACATCAGGGAAGCACGGGATATGGATTCTATTGGTCTGCACACTCATTGGTCGTAGCCAAAGAGGGCATTTTACTTCACCAATGAGTGAAAAGGACAGCGCATAGGCGCAGCCAATCATCATTGTCCTGTTAATGCTGTCAATCAGTTCCAGGTGAAAATCCCATTGGTCAGAAAGTGACATAACTTCGATGCAACGGACTGTTATGTAATTTTTAGTGGCTCCGATCAGTAATCTGAAGGTGACAGTGTCTGTAAGAACAAATGGGAAAGGTGTCTTTATGACGGGAAGATCACAGCGCGTCAGATATAATGCCTTTATTCAGCTATATGCCAGAGGAACTTAAAGGCACAGTGACCTATTGCAATAATTAATACATATACGAATTTAAACTGAATGACAGGATTAAATTGAAAGACATCAGTAACTACAACACCAAGGCTTATTTTTATACTCTGGATATTTGTATGTTAGGTTTGTTTTGGATATTACACGTTTTAAAATTAACTCCCAAGATTAAAGATCAACCAGCCATTACATTTCATAGTGTGTTGGCAAAAACATGTCAGTAGAGGGCAGTATGTGCTTCAATTATTTTCCCCTGGATTAGGAGTGCTATTACAGATATTTAGATACATCAGTTTCTTGTTATGAGTCAAGGATGTAAACACATAAATCAAAAACTTCAACAACATGGGTGTCTGGTAGCTGTGTACCACTGAACAGCCACATTATCAATCACATCAAGGAAACTCTGAAAATCCCAAAGCGTTTTGTGCACACAGACCGGAAAAGCTGGAAACAATTTTTCTTCTGTCCCAGTCTTAGAGTTGCTGGAGGCCGACAAGCTCGCGTGTCAGCGTCCTGTATGTAATCACCAACACAGCTCCATCACTCCAGCAATGTCAAAACGCTGGTACACTGAGCTCTCTGCGAAAACCTGTCTGGTCAGCATTGCAGCTGTTGCTTAAAAGTGTCAAGACAAGATTTGGAAGGAAACCTTAGGTGACATGTCTGTTTACCAAATGAGATCGGGATTTAAGCCCATTACCTTCACGCGGCTCATGAATAATGCAGCACGACATTTAAACTTCACCTTCACTTAGTGTTTGACGCAGTCCTTGGGGCTCTTATTGGCCGACGAATGGCAGCACTCTCAGATATGGAAGAGGAAGCGAAGGGGGAAAACTGTGTGGTTTTTCAACGAAATGCAATGACACAGCAGCAACATGCACAGAAATCTGCTTGGGGAGGGAGACAGCATTACTCACGCCTGTGGTATTCGAGTCCACGTCAGGCCCGCAGTGAGGAGACTGCGCCGTAGACCATACAGCAAACCCACAGACGCGTCATTTCATGTGATTTGCAATGTGCAATTTATTCAATCAACACGTAAACCAAGGCTAACCGAGAGCTCGGACAGAGCAGCAGGTCACCATGAACAGGACTGGGGAACAAAGGCCCACGGGACACTGACTGGAACGTCCTCCAGCACCAACCATCCTCGGGAAACGAGATTTAACACAGACCTACCAGCCAATGTATAATCAGCCTCCCCCCCCCCCCCCCCAAAAAAAAAACAAACAAACAAAAGCGGGGAGAATGCCCTCCTTCCATAAAGACAAACACCTGCCCCATGACACAAAGGTAGTTTTTTTTGTTTCTTTTTAATTTTTTTTTTAAAAAAGAGATGAGTTTATTCCATGATCATAACAGACAAAATCTTTCTCCTCCGTACTCAGTGACATACCAACAGTAATTAAAGGAGAAAAAAAAAGAAAAAAAAAAAGTAAACCTGAATGAAGCAAAACCTCGCCGTGCCAAAGGTCAGCGATTTCATTGAACAGAATATCCATGGCACATAACCAACTGGTAACGAAGAAATGAAAAAACAATCAGAATACATGAAGGCATGAAGGAATGAAGAAATGAGTGATTTCTCTTGCTTATTTAAACAAAGCTTTCATATAAGTGGACTTCACTGAAATGAAAAGGGGGGGGCGGGGGGGGAACACACTAACGGCAGCGTGACCTCCCCACTTAAAACTGAATGCTAGTCGCCACACTGCCAACACACGCACACGCACGCACACACGCACCCACGCACGCAAACAAACAAACACACATAAACAGTATATAATCTGCTCCATGACTCTTGAAGCTCCACTTGAGATATACAGATCTGGGGAGGGGTATGTTGGGGGGAGTCAGGCATACAATAAAGAAATACAGCTAAAACTAGACTTAAACCTGAACATATTAAATGGATAAAATGCCATGTTGACTATTTTTATTTGTACACAAACCCACTGGTGTCCCACCCACCCTGAATCCCTTCAAGAATAGGAAACAGATGCCAACTAGAATTATTATACAATACAGGCTCTGGATGGGGGGAAAAAACACTAGCAAAAAACTTGGAAAAAATCGGAGGAGTCTTAAATCTCATCCCCTTTTGGTGCCCCAACAGAATAGGAAGTCACACTCCACTACAATCAAGAATGATACAAATTCAAAAAGTCATTTTTTTTTCAATTTTTGATTTTTTTTTTTGCATCTGCTACAGCTTCCGAAGTGCCTACCATTTACAGTCCAGATAAAACGATTGAAGATGAACACACTCATGCATGGGCTATGAGGGGGGCAAAGTGGGCCTTCCTGAAGACACACACACACACACACACACACACACACATAAAAAAAAAAAAAAAAAAAACAATGAAAGAAAAACTGTGGATGTGTGGCCTGCAGGGGGCGATACAATGGCATCTACCATCTCCCTGTGCGTTACCTGTCTGTTATTTGGGGCAGGGGCTCCTGGCGCGGTGTTTCGGGCAGCTTTGGGAGGCAGGATGGGGAAGACGTGCGCAAAAATGCTCTAAAGCTGCATGAGGAATTATAATACAAGCATAGCAATCACGTTGTACTCAAAAAAAAAACACATCCCCTTCCTGACATGTCGGTAACCCCACATGGGGGGTCTGGGTGGGGGGGGGGGATGCCTTTTGAAAGTTATCACTCTGTCAGCTGTGACATCACACTAAACAGGAAATGACAACCAGCCCTCAGGGGCCCACTTCCCTGTTCTGCGTCACCTGTCGGGGGCGGGGAGGGCAGGGAGGGGGGAAAAAAAAACAAAAAACGAAGAAGCTCTGCTTTCGATTCTGGCACTGTCTTGCTTGTTTATGAGGGGTGAGGACAGGAAAATATTAAATACTCATACAGGTCATTTTACGAGGGTTAGGGAAAAAAAAACAAAACAAAAAAAAAAAAACACACACCTTGCGGGACTGTCAACCCTAAGAAATGGTTTGGCATACATACCAGCTGCAAAGGGTGCTGTAAGGGGGCTAAACGAAAACGATCATTAAAAAAGAGAGAGAGAGAGAGAGAGAGAGAGAGAGAGAGAGAGAGAGAGAGAGAGAGAAACCTTTACAGTAGATCCTACAAAAACAAAAGCACGATGAGCTAAGCTCCCAACAAGACTGAACTAGCATCCGTATCATTGTTCATACCTCCAGGTGAGTGTATATATAATATATATTATATTGTGTATGTATACAGGTCAGAAGTGTAAGGCATGTTGTCTCTACCCTCCTCTCCTGAGAATACTACAAATCTCAAGACGTCAAGTCCCTCCCCCCACCCCCGAATCCCACCCCTCAACCCCACACCCGCTTGCATGTATTCTCTTCAAATTAGTAATGAAAAACACAAGAGGGGAGGAGGGAAAAAAAAAAAACGAAAACAAAACAAATGCGGTCTTCAGTTTCCCCCGGCCTGACTCCAGGAGTCCGGCGATCCGTGAAATCTCTCCTGGCCAGGAAACCGTTTGCATGTTAGCTACTGTGTTCTTGACGTCGGTCCGCTTATGACTCCGCCAGTCCGTGAGTCGTCGGGTCAGGTGGCGCTCGGCGTGAGTGCCCCGTCCCTGTGGCGACACGTATGGGGGACTCGCTCGCCTGCTTTTGAGAGGTCCATCCCCTCCGAGAGGTCATTGGGGGCGGGGGGTTTTAGAGAAGGCTCCCCCCCCCGCCGG